TATTAAATCATTTAGTAGCATGAAAGAGCAATATAAAATCATACTTGCTGGGCATGGTGGCACATGTCTGTAATCCCAGCACTTGGGAGGCTGAGGCAGGAGGATTGCCATGAGTTCAAGGCCAGCCTGAGCTACATAGTGAGTTCAAGTCCAGCCTGAATTAATAGCGAGACCCTGTCTCAGAAAACCAAAAAAAAAAGAAAAAAAAAATCATATACTTATCCTTCTCTTCACTGTCTATGTGGATATGTCGGTGATATGCGTGGAAGCGAGGGGAACAGCAGGGTCTAGTGAACACGGAAGACTCTGAACTGGCAGTTAGAGGACCAAGGCTTTCGTCCTGGGGCTCCTGCTAATTAGCTGCGAGACTTTGGACAATTCAGTTTACGTTGCTTGTAAATTAAGAAGGTAGAATTAGGCAATCACTAAGGTCTTCTTTGACTTTGAAGTTCTGGACAAAGATGCCACTTTCTTTATTTGAATAGTAAAGTAATCTCAAGTAAATATACATTGCTCTTTGATTAAGAAACCTCCTTCGGTACAGTAGTTTACATATTTGCCAAGAAAATCGTTATCATTATCAATAGTGAAAATAGCAGATTTGTACTGTATGTAGTCTTTTTTTTTTTTGCTTTGTCTTATGTTTTCCACTGAAAGAAGTAGAAGAATAGAGGAACAGATGGTACAGGTGGTTGAGTACCTGATTTGAAATGGCACTTTGTTGGTTGCTACATCACTACACCTGTTTAATTAACTCAGTACTCCTTGAATAATCAGAGTTAAGTATTTTGTCAAAAGCAAGCCATAGCAAAGAGTATACAGTTATCCCAGTGACATTACATTTACTGTGTGATGTGTGCTTCTGAGGATGGCTTAGGGTGTGATCTTGGGAAAGTTGTTGGCATTCCTCTGGGCCTCTTATTTCTATGCATACCATAAGAAAGTACAGTTGGAGGCCACCTTAGTGAATCCTCCCATTTCCTGAAAGAGTTAGCCACTAATCTAAATTGAATCTTCCTTGCTTTCTATTTTTTCTATAGAAAAATGTAATATTTTGTCAATATATCATTATAAGTTTTCAATTATAGGCACTTTATAGTTGATCATTTCTGACAAGTTAGGAAACATGGCTTTAATTTTTTAAAATTGCCTAGAGTATGTAGGTCTTACAGTAAGGGAAAACTAAATGGTTTTCATGTTTCTCAACTGATCAGTATATAAATTTTTCAAATCTTTTGTTATTTTTGTGGAATATTGTCATTCTTAGTATAGTGTCTTATTTATAGTCATATTTTAATTAACCTGTGAGTCTTTGGATTTGCAAGATGGGATGCATCAATCAGGTATAATCACATTGAAAGTATTTGTGATTTTGATCTGGAGCATTCAGAGGAGTAAACTTTTTTGTTTGCCTTTTTATCAGATTTTTCAGATACATATTTTTAAATAATTTCATGTTTTTATACACTCATGTTTATAGCAGCATTTCACAGTAGCCAAGAGGTAGAAATAATGACATGCCCATTGATGAGTGAATGGATAACAGAATGTGGGATATACATACGAATATTACTCAGCTTTAAAAGGAAGGCATTTGTGACATAGGCTGTATACAGGTAAACCTTGAGGACATTATGTTAAGTGAAATAGGCCAGACACAAACAGATAAATTATGTGTGATTCCCCTTCTGTGGGCATTCTAATGTCATGAAAAAAAAAGTAGAATAGTGGTTGCCAGGAGCTGGAAAGAGAGAAAACTGAACTGGCACATTGTTGTTTAGAGGAATGAAGTCTCACTTTTGAGAGAGAAAATTGTTGTGGAAATTGGTAACACAACAATTGTGAATACACTTAAAAATGATGAGGATGGTGACTTTTATGTTATTTCCTATTTTAAAAATCCATATATCATAAAATTAACAATAGCATCTCTAGGAATGATCTTTCTTCAGTGTCCAATGGTAAAATAGTTGATTCTTTTATTCTTTTCATCTTAAGGTAAAATGATTTTCTAAAGAGAATACAGTTGTGTTTACTTACAAAAGTATCCTTCTGTTCACAGATGATTCAGACTTCAAAAAAAAAAAAGTGTCCTCCTGGATAGAAAGCAAATAACAAGGAAGATAGTGGTTGAGTTTGAATTTTGCTTTACAGTTTAATAAAGACCCTGGGAAATTGGCTAAAGGGTTATTATTTCCATATGGTTAGAAGTCCCTGAGTTTTATAAAGGTTAACTTGCATATGGTCACAGAGTACAAATGGGAATAGACAGGTAATTTTGTGTCTAGCCCAGTGCTCTCGTCTCCCCATCACACTGGGCAGGCAGGCAAGAAATAGTCAAGTCTTGGATACATGCATCTCTCTCATTACCTTTTTTGAAATGCTGCTGTCTTACCAACATAGTTTTACTACTTAGAATACTAAGTATGAACAATATCTTACTTTTTTTTTTTTGGTACTGGGGATCAAACTCAGGACCTTGCACTTGCAAGACAGGCGCGGTGCCACTGAGCTAAATTCCCGGCCCTGAACAACGTCTTGATACCAACAGAGATGATGTAAAGAAAAACATCTACAATGCTCAAAGCTACTGTAAGGGCTGGTATGTGAGATTAAACTAAAAAATGATATTAACTTATATACTGACATGCATGAATGTCCATATACAAAATGAGATGTGACATTTAACCTGAGAAGATGAAATTGACTTCAGTACGATGGAGTGGTAGGACCATGAAAAAATGTATTCAAAGTGAATTACTAAAGTGTTCACCAAATTATATAGTAGAAGAACTAAAAACTGTTGTAATTAGTGAAAGGATAATAAGCTCCAGGCTAGCAGTATTTTATCCAGTGGATATTCAGTTTACAGAAGTGCTAAGGTCAAGACAAGATTTTAGCCAAAGTTCCCATTAATGCATACAGACCATAAACTCACAGACGATACACAGTATCGTAAGTCTTTTACTAAAGGAAGTCACCATTTCAGTTTCCTTTCTTCTTCCCTCCTCCCCTTCTCCCCTCCCCTTTCCTCCCCTCCCCTCAGCCCCATCCTGCCAGTAGCTTGAATGAACAGAGCTACATCCCCAGCCTGTTTTCTTACTTTTTGAGACCCGACTGAGTTGCTAAGTTGCCCAGGCTGACATTGAACTTGTGGCCCTCCTGCCTCAGCGTCTTGAGCAGTTGAGATCACAGGTGTGTGCTACCATGCCTGGCACTGTTTCAGTTTTCTTAAAGCTTAAGAGATTATTGGTAGCACTAAATGGATGGTTGGACTTGGACCTCCCAGATTAACATGAGGAAGTTTTATGATTACTTTTTCTGAGAAGCCTAGGAAAATGTGAAACAGGGAAAGAAGGGAACTGCTTACCTTATTTTGATCTTAGCTTCCAAGACGTGTGTGAGCCATCATTCTTTGTTAAATCTCCTCCTCAGTATGTGTTTCCCCAATGAGCATGCTTCCCTTTCCCCATGTGAACTGGTTGTCATGAATATGCCATGAATTTGTCATGAATTTATGTCATCTGTGTATGATCCTTGCTGCCATCTATAGCGCTTCTACTATAGACCTGTTATGGCTTACAGTCCTGTAGTAACCCATTTTAGAACCTTATGTTTAATATTCAAAGCAACCCTTTAAGTTACGTATTTAACCTTCTGTAGATGAAGAAATACACTTAAATATTCAGTAATCATAGACATTAAGTGTTAGGTACTGTATCCAGCGCTTTATATTTATTATCACACTTAATCTTCATATTCCTCTGTGCTAGGGCCATTGTTATCCCCGTATTCCAGTAAGTTAGCAGCTTTCTCTAGATCTTACCTATCTGGTAGTTAACTTTTCCAAGTTAAAACTCAGAGTAAGCAGCTGTCAGTTTCAATCACACATGGATTCACTCTACTCAGCCTTGCTACTGCCTTTTCTCCTTTGCAGCTTTCAAATTCATCCACATTTTCTGCTTTCTATAGAAAATGTTATCATTTTTCTCCTTTTTTACCTTTATTATCGTCTCTGTTCAAGCAAATTTATAACCAGAATTCCTCTTCCCTCTGCTTTTTCAATCCTTTTGTCATTCTTTTGCTGTCTTTCGTGACTGTTATGCAGCTGAGTTAGATAAACAGATTTGCTCTCTGGTCTGAATCCACTGAACTCTCAGTCTACTTGCTCCCTCATCCTGCAAGACACTTGGCTCTCCTACCTTGCTGGTGAAGTTGTCCTCCCTTTGCTCCTTCCTAAATATTCAGCTGTGTACTCTTCCATCCTCTTTCCCGAGTGTACTGGGTGGGTTAGAGTAAAAGGTTCCTCTGCTTAACAGGAAACTTGACAAGACTGTCCTTGACCTTCCCAGTTCAGATAGGTGTGGATTTCTAGAGTATATCTCAGCTCATCCTTGCCTATCCAGTTTGGTCCAGTGATTGAAGATCCTTCCCTGTTTCTTCTGCCTTTTAAACTCATTCATACAAAAGCTCTTACTTGGCTTGAAGAATATATTGGTCATCAAATTTTAGAAAGAAACTTACAAGAGGCCTTCAGGTGGTATGTAGTCTATTCCATATCATAGATTTTTTTTTTCAGACTTTGTTTTTTTTAGTATTAGGAACGGAACCTAAGAATGTTAAGCTACATTCCTACCCCTTTTTAATTTTAATTCTTTAAAGTTTTGAGATAGGGGTTTGCCAGGTTACTGAGTGGCCTTAAATTTCGGATCTCCTGCCTTAGTCTTCCAAGAAATCCCACTCTCTGCCTGACAACAGTTGTCTGAAGTTTTCATACAAATTCTCTTTACAAAAAGATAGAGTGCTCTTATATACCAGGAATTGTTTTTTTAAATTGTTTTTTACCCATTTGATCAGATTTATTGTTTAGCAACTGATGTGTATTTTAAATGCTTAATAATAATTGTATTCATTATATTTGTGATTGTTTAACTTTCTCATGGAGAAAAAGAAACCCAGGTGTAAAAATACCTGCTGGGCCTTCCACGTAGTTTTGGTTTTTACAGATACTTGGAGGCCGTGTCTACAAGGTGGGCAAACAGGCACCACCAGGTGACCAGGCATGGGTTGTGAGCTTTGACCCACTGCTCAGTCCATCTCAAGATCTGGTTTATGTTGTCCTCTAGCTCATCAGGCATATTTTTGGGCAGCTGGTGCATGATATCTTCCTTGTATGATAACATGGCCTCTTCATAAAGAACTTGAAAAATCTCACACTCGATATTGTCTCCTAGTTTCTTCTCATTATAACCCCTTGTTTCAAGTCTTTTGAACAATATACTGTTATCTGTTCTCAACACAAAAACTGCATGAAACCATCGTTCAGGAAAGAAATCACAACCGCGGTAGTCAACAATAACTCCACCTTCTGCCATTTGGTTCTCTAACTCATCAACTACTTTTTCTTCATCTAAAATGGGACACTCATACACTTCATCATAGCCATTATATAATGCCCCTTCTTGAGCTACATTACCCACATTAATGTACTTTAGTCCTGATCTGGATGCAAGTTCTTTGCCTAGTGTGGTTTTTCCAACTCCTGGTGTACCGGTGATCAGGATGTTCAGAAGCACCATAGTTCCCCACACTGTGGCCCGGGTACGTCAGCTCGCTCACCAGACATTGTTAAAAAAAAAAAAGTACAGCAAGGAGCACAGCCATAGCCCTCATGGCATTAAGTAGAAGGCATTGACCTCCTCCTTAAAAAAGAGGCTCATAGTTTTCCTTTAGGGTGCTTTTAATGTACAGTTTGACATGGTATCAATGGATAACTTCTATTTGTGTTTAGTAAGGGAAAATGGATTTTTTTTTTTTTTTTTAGTACCAGGGATCGAACTCGGGTCCTTGCACTTGCCCAGCAGGTGGTGAAACCACTGAGCTAAATCCCCGGCCCGAAAATGGATTTTTAACAATATCACTTGCAATTACTGGTTTTAACTTAGTAAAGAAAACTGGAGAATTTTAGAGAATATTAAGTGTACACACTTCTTGATGTCTTGAATATACTACTGAAGTTACTCGTTGTAAAGCAGTTTTCTTTTGTTTATTGATTTTGTAGATTGCATAGGTATAGATTCTATTAGAAGAGAAAGAAGTGGCTGGCTTATTCAGGTAGAATCTAGGAACACATTTTTATTTTATGATTTGATTACACATATAAAGTAAGCTCATTTCTGAGTAGACTAGAACAATACTTTTTATACTTTAATGTGTAAATCACCTTATAATCTTATTAAAATGCAGGTTCTGACTTTGTAGTTCTGCATTTCTTTGAAGTTTGCAGGTGATAATTTTCTTCTGGTGCATGGACCACATAATATGCTTAACATATTATTTTAAAAACCAAACAGTGGGATGTATGTTTTTTTTTGGTACCAGGGATCGAACTCAGGTCCTTGCACTTGCAAGGCAGGCAGCAGAATCACTGAGCTAAATCCCCGGCCCCAGGATGTTTTTAATAGAATATTTTATTGTATTTTGTCCTAACAGAAACTTTGTATATCTTCTAGAACCATATTATATTGACCAATAACTATTCATTTGTCTGAATCCGAAAGTCAAGGGTTGGGATAATATTATTATCAACTCCATTTGACACATGATGAAATGGGAGAGAATTTCAGGTTCATAGTTCTGGGGCTAGAAAGCAACAGCTAGAACTGAAATTCTGTTCTTAGTCTTGTCTCTTGGCCCTGTACCAACCTACCTTAGTTCCTTGAGTTGTCTCAAGCAATCACCAGATTTAAGATCATTTCTTGCTATAATCTTGGTTCCTTATCTTCACTTCCTCCAGGATTTTGAATGTTTTCTAAAAATTTTAAATTTTACCAATTTTTTTCTAGAACTTTACTAGATTAGACTACTTGGGGGGAAAAAGTTCATTTTGACTGATGGAAGTGTACTGAGCTTTAAAAACTTTAAAAAAAATCAGCCTTTCAAAAAAAATAGGGCAATGAGAGGCTTTTAAAGAAATTGCTTTAATACACAAAGTAATAATGTGTTGTAAATATTATAGTTGTTTGTACACATGTAGACTTTACTTTGGTTACTTAAACTTATTGAATTACAAGTATTTTATTCTTTATTAAAGTTTGTTTGTTTGGTTTTTTTTTTGGTACCAGCAATTGAACTCGGGTCCTTGTGCTTGCAAAGCAGGTGCTGGAACCACTGAGCTAAATCCCCGGCCCTAAAATTTGTTTTTTAAGCTGGGTGTGATAGCGCGTGCCTGTAATCCCAGCACTCTGGAGGCTGAGGCCCTTTAGAGGGATCATCGCAAGTTCAAGGCCACCCTGAACTACATCTCAAGACTCTGTCTCAACCAAAAACAAAACAAAATAAAATGTTTTATATTATCTTTTGAAAAGTCTTTTAAAAATTTAAAACTTCAATTAGTATTTTAAGTATTTTATAATATTGAATTATAAACCATTTTGTCTCCTCAGTATATAATTTATAAAACATTCTGGCCTTAGTCTAAACTCTCCAGATTTAATCATTAATGGTAATGTTTCTTTACTTTGGCTTAACTCTTGAAGAGAATGGAATTTAGTGTCTGACTCTTGTTAGTGATAATGAGGATGGCAGTGTGCTCTTGCTCCGTGTCAGACACTACACACAACCCTCACAACCCTGTTACCGTCCGTGAGGCCAGTGACAGCAGGTAGCTCCTGGGGCTTGTGCAGCTTCTAATGCTGGTAGTATGATTTAAGAGTCCATATTTAGAATCTAGAAAACTTGAAGTCAGGAAGATGTGGCCTGAAAGACAGTGAGGGAGGGACTTGCGTTATTCCTGATGTAGGACTCACTCGAGTGCAGATTCAGATCGGGAAAGACTTAGCATTGCCCAAGCCGGCCCGGCTTTGTGGCATCCCGGGGTGCTGGGGACTGAAACATACCGCAGCTCCTGGAATCTCACATGTCAATCCTCTGGGGCAGTTATTTCCTCATTAAAAGCAAAGACTGAAAAGAAAGAGCAGAACCTGTGATTGTGCTGCAGTCTCTGTTGCCTGCCTGGGCCCTCCTGGTCTGTGTGCATCCCATCTCCCTGCAGCTGGGGAAGGTTTTGCTGCCCTTCATCTACTGCCCCTCAGGGTTCCCCAGGCCCCCCTTTCTCACTCTGTTCACTCTCTACCCACTCTCCCTGGTGACCCCAGACTCTGCTGTGAGGTGTGTGGTCGGTTGACTCTTTGGAATCCTGGCTGCTCTGTCATTCTTTCTCTATGGCCCCAGATCCCGCTGACGCCTCCACTCAGGTCCCAGGAGCCCTTGCACCAGAGATGGCCAACAGTCATGCGTTCATTTCCTCCCAGATCTGCTGCTCTTCCCTAACACTCAGTTCTAGACTATTTCCCTCTGGGCTACCAGCTAGCCAGAAACCTGGGAGTAGTCCTAAACTTTTGCTTTGACCTCTCACTTTCATAACCATTGCCAAGTCTAGAGAGTTTACCCTTGCTGCCCCTGTCCAGCGCAGTGCAGCCCCTCTGAGTCCAGCTTCTGCCCTGTCTTAAATCACAGTGTTCTCAGAGTCTGGCTGCCTGTCAGGACAGCAAGGATCTCTGATGAAGATCATGCGGTAAGCTCCCACAGCAGAGATGCTGATTTGGTAAATCAGGGCGGGGGCTTTGGAATCCATATTCTAGCAAGCACGTGCCTCTTATGTGGAGAGTCTAGCAGTAGACAGGTGTTTGAGAACCACAGTCCAGTTTTCCTTACTTTTGAGATATTCCTTTCTCCTTCAGCCCATCTCTCACAGCTTCCACTGATCGATCCTTGCCTCCTCTTGCCTTACTGTAGGTTATAAGTCTCCTTAAGGAATCCCCAGTTACTTCCTGCCCTCTTCCTTTGTATATATCCTCTACCAGGCTCTGCTTAGTTTCCAAAATAAGCATTTTGATTTCTTGTTTCTGGGGTATTCATTTATTCAGTTCTCTCTGAGTATTCAGATATTCTTATTTGAGTATCTAAAATAGTTGTTCTTGCTAAAGGAGCTTTTGTAAATTTCTCTTGATTCTTCCCTCTACAAAAAAGGCCTGTATCTCCATCTGCTTGGCAGATTTCTCCTCTTTGAGAAGTTCCAGTATCTGCTCTTGAAGCCTGACTTGTACCCTTTTGTGTCTTTTGGACACTCCTCCAACTTTGTACTCATCCTGCTTTCTCTGGTAGATACTGTAATGAGTTTAAGAGGTCAGGGACCAAGTAACCTGCCCCTGACCATTTACCTCCGGAGAGGTGGAGTTGTTGGACGTCAGTGCTGTGTGATCCTATGATACAAATTGACTTAGGAGTAACATTGTGCTGGTGGGAAGCATTCCCCAATGGACCACTCTCACTCACTGTAAAGATCCCGTATTCACACACGACTGACTTCTTTTAGTCAATAGATTGCAAGTTTTGACAAATACAGTTGTGCACCTATTATGTGACCTTTCAATACAGATAAAATTCTGTCTATATTAAAAGATACCAAGCTAATATTTGTAAATGTGTCAGTCCATCTTTTTTACTATGAGCTATATGAAACAGTCAAACTATTACTCAGTGGAAACTATTTCTGAGCATTAACCCTTAACTATCTGAAAGGGTTAAGGGGAATGTATAATTTTCATAGTTAAAATAAAGTCATTTACTCTAGAGTGTGATGTGCTGTGTTCTATTTGGCTTTAGGTTTGCCTTAATTTAAAACTAGGAGAGGGAACCTATTACTAAAAAAGACAGTTCCTTCTATGTCCTAAAGGAAAGGCCTAGTAGTTAGGGATTTTCCGAAGGTGAAATTCACTTCCCTGTAACTTCTTCTCAGATGTTTTAATTCTGGCCTCTGAAGATAGAGAATAAATCAGATCTCTTACAAGTTCTTAGTATTTGATGAACCCCCTTTGTCTTTTCCCTGCTAGGCATGTTTGTGTCATCCTCACCCCTACCACATGTGGTGGCACCTTCCAGACCATTCAGGACCCTGGACCAGGCCTCCTGGACACTCTGTAGAATTGTGACACACTCAGTTCTTTTTATTAGAAAAGGGAACATATAACAAAATGTAGGATATTTGATTCTCATCAGACGCACTCAGGAAAATATTGCAAATAAATACAGAACACATACAGCTTATATAATAATATTGTAAAGGCATTGGGAAACTTCATGCAGATATTTGGTTGGGAGCTGTTTTTCTATGGCCCAGGTGCTAACAAGTACTTGGCTTCCATAGTAATGGAGGTGGAGTCTTGAGCACTATCTGACCTGTATGAACTGGAAGGACTCATTTGAGAAAGGTATGGTGGGACTTTTGTGGCCTTTTATAAAGCTGAAAATAGGGGTTAAGTTGTTGCTGAATGAACACATAACTTGAATTGTTGGCAAAGAAGTGAGGGTGCTGCTTTCTCCTCTGGAGTGTCCAGAGACTTAAGGGACATACAGTGTAGCCTCATAGAGCACACACATACTCAGGGAGTCCTGGGGTGAGGTGCTGTTGACTTTAGGTTAAAGTTGTGCTGACACAGAGGAGGGTCCATGAAGAGCCTAGGGACGGGGTTATTGGACACTTAAGAAGCTTAAGTACTGATGTATGTGCTGTTGGATTTGACAGAAAGGACAGAGAATGAAGGACTAATATGAAGAGTATTCGTTCTTAATTTATCCATCCAGTAAGTGTGTAGGCACCTTGATAAGCCTTGTAATAGAAGAACACATGGCTCAGTCCCTGCCTCAGGGGGGCTACAGTTCGCAGGAAGGTCACAGGGCAGAGTGGGACAAGCTTGTGTGGGTGCGCTGGTCACAAACA